TACATGTAAATCAGGAGTTGGGTCTCAGTTTGCAGTACCGTCAGGCCGTCACACTGAAAGCTGTTTGTGTGTCAGCTCTGAGCCGCGTCGTGCATCTGAATGGGACCCTATGTGGTCTCGGGAGTGTCCTGTTAGCGCCTGCCCTGTTTACACTCCCCCCGTGAGCGCGTGTGAGGTCTCGTGTTGCTTTTGGAGTGCTCGGACCCGCGGGGGAGGGAACCGCAGCAGCAAATGTTAGCGGAGGGCAGATGAAATCCACAGATGAATGGAGGAGCTTTTTCTGTCTGTTTGCTCTGCGGTCGAAGGTGAGGAGGGTACAGAGATACAGAGGAGGTTTCAGTCCTCACCAGCGCTTTGGAAAGAGGCTTTCTGGGCCCAACAGACTTTTTTGAGGGTGATCTCTAATGTGACAACATCTTGGTATTTCTCAAGCGTGCATGTGTCAGGAATCCTCCGATCACATACGGAGAGCGTGTGTTCACGGTCACTCAAAAATAAAGCCTCTTTATTGGCATCTGTGGTTCCATGAAGAAAACATCCATTGAATCTTTTCTTTACACAAAAGATTCATAACATTGGAAATGGTTCCTTTAGATTTTTAAATGGAAGGTTATTTCCATACATGGTAATTGTGAATTTTTATCTCACAATTCAGACTTCGTTTCTTACCATTGCAAGTTTATATATCATATTTCTTTAATTAATTAATTAATATTTCAGACTTTTTTCTTGCAGTTGAGTTTTTTTTTTTTTTTTTTGAATTGTGAAACAAACTCACAATTCTAAGAAAAAAACATTGAATTGTAAGATATAAACTCACAATATAAACTTTTTTTCTCACAATTCTCAGAATTGCACATTTATATTTCATTATTTCATAAACACTAGCTGTTATGTTTTCCTCATAATATTTTCATCAGCAGTTTATTTGGTTTAAAATCATTGGTAACATTTTCTATGAAGCCCGTATTTATAATATATTATAAGAGTATTCTTAAGGCATTATAATGAATGAATAATGCATTATAAAAAACCTTATAATATGTTGTATCATCTCATGAGTAATCATAACAACAGTTTTAATGCATTATGATATTTACTCATTTTTTGGTTATAGCTTTTAAGAGTATGATGATTTATAACACACAATGCATCCACTTAACTTACAATGGATTATATTTCCAATATTTATAACTATCATATCTTGCCATTGTTAACTTGTTACTTTACTTAAAGCAGACAAAGACCACTTATAAACAACAACAACAACAGCTATATTAATATAATTTTTTTATTAAACAGCCATAAGATCAGATATCTGGTCAGATGAATGTGTAATATGGCACATTTGATTTTAACTATATTTATTGTAATATCAATAAGATAGTAAGATACTGTACAAATCTTAAATAAATGATGTCAAGATATGAGACTTATAATCCAATATAAATTAAGTGGATTTAACATGGTGTTTATTGCATGTTATAAATAATCATACTCATAAAAGTTAGAACCAAAAATAAGTAAGTTTTATAATGTATTATAATTGTTGTTATGATTATTTATGATTATTTATGAGATGAAACAACATATAAGTTTTGCCCTAAGAATACCCTTATAAATATGTGCTTCATAGAAAATGTTACCAAATCATTTAATTATCATCACAATGGCATTTTTTTGTCCTTCTCATTGACAAAAAAAACTCTTAATTATAAAACATTTATGTCAGTAATTTTGTTGACAAAATTACACTGGTTGCACTGGTTGCAGCAATAATAATAATAATGTTTTAAACATTTTTTGGTCATATCTCATCTGCACTGAAATGGATATATGGCTCTGTCACCAGCGTAGCTGCTCTCAGCACTGTGTGATGTGTTGTAAAGCTCAAAGCCCTTAGAAAGTCTAGGAAGTCCTTAAAACACCAACTGTTCATTCATAACTCCGAGTGAAAGAACAGAACAGAATCACACGCTCCAGAGAGAGAAATGTGAACTGGCCTCAGAGCTGTTGTGTGAATGTCTGGCGTGTTTGTGTATTTATTCGTGAGTGTGTGTGTGTGTGGATGGATTTGTCTGCCTTCAGGCTGTAGACGGCTCCAAGCTGTGTTTAATGATCCCCCTCCGGTGTCTCTCCGTCACATCAGGGATGGATGCAGTGAGATCGGAGGCCGGATCTTTGCAGACGTGCATTCAGCATGTGGACGGATCACACACGACATTGTTAGCTGGAGCTGCACGCTTGCACAAACACACTCTCACACACACACTCGTGTTTGCTATCGATGTGGGCTGCAGGCAGATACTCCGGCATCTTCACTCCGCCAGTGTGTCTGTGTTTTGTGTCTGTGGTGTGCTGGGATTTAAATAAATACCAGCAGGCTGACAGAGCAGCTGTTTGATGTTCTGTCGCTCAGCTTCACAAGATTCTGTGTGAATCAATGAATGAATGAATGCACTAGAGGAACATGAGTGTTGCAAGCCGGTACAAAACTAGCCATCACAATGCTAGGGTGTTGTTATGTGGTTGCTCTGCAGATGAAAATGTGTTCAGGTTGTTTTTTAGCATGTTGCTGTGCAGTTGCTGGGGCGCTTGGAAGTTGAAAGGTGCTTGTTAGACTGTTCAGAGGATTCTGTGGCTTTTAGTTTGTTATGTGGTTGCTGGTAGGGATTTACGATTATGACAAATTCATAATTGTCTATTATTCCCTTGAGTTTATAATAGGGCTGTCAAAATGGCTGAAAAACTAAATTCAAATTTTTTACTTAAATATTATCAATATTCGAATTTATAAGGCATCGAGCAAAATATTATGCACGTTTCTTCAAAGCATAATAAAATAACACGACTATCTTTGCTGTTTCTCTGTGGTTGCTAGGTTGTTGTGAGTGGTTGTCAGTGATTTGCTATGTGGTTACAAAAGTATCTTTTTTTGCTTTGTGGTTGTTGGGGTGTTTTGAGTTATTTAAAAAAAAAATTGTTTTTTTTAAGCAAGTTGTGGTTGCTGGGGAATTGCGAAGTGATTGTTAGGGTTTTCTGAGTGGCTTTTAACATGCTCTTATGCGGTTGCTAGGGTGTTGCCATGCGGTTGACATGGCCAGTGAGTTGCTGTGTGGTCACCTCGCGCCTTTTATTTGTTTATTTATTTGCCAGGGCTTTGCTATGTAGTTGCTAAGGTGATCTGAAAGTTTTTTTGCACATTGCTGAAAGTTAATACTTAGTGTCATAGGTTTGAACAACATCTAACCCCAAGTTTAGTACTAGTACTAGTCTTGACTAAGCGAAGTGAGTTTGCGTGGTTGTGTGTGCATATGAATGAATGCATGTGTGTATTGGTAGGGTTTGTCAGTGTGTGTGATTTGTGTGTTTCTGATTATCTTATCACTGCAGATGGAGTATTAGTGTTTGTGTAGTCTGAATGTATGTTTGCTTATGTGAACTGTACATTTACACATGGAGTTTCTCTCTGACAGGCTCAGTAAACTGTTTACGCAGTGGCTCTGTCTGCCAACGGCACATTGTTCTGTCCTTATTTGCCCAGCTTGAGTCCTGATGCAGTCACTTTTCTGCCAGTGAAGGTGTCGTGTCTTCAGGCCTGTTGCGTCGGCACTCTGGGATTTTGTGTCCCATTAAAAGCACGATGTGTGTGTATGTCTGTGAATCGTGTCGTAGGCTCGGGCTAATTTACAGACCTCTCTCTCTCTCTCTCTCTCTCACACACGCACACGACTCTAGTGCTTCTAGACCACAACAAGTCCTACATCAGCCAGGACACATAAATAGCCCAGGAGAACATTAGGATGTCAGAGACGCTCTCGGCTCTCATACATTCAGCTGTTAGAGAGAGTGCGTCTGCAAGGTGAATTATAAAGTTCTTCCACAGACTTCAGGAACATCTTTGAACTTCTGCAGACTCGATACCGTGAGATTAAAGACGAGAGAAATAACCATTTTTATCTTCTTGGTGTTTGTGTGTGAATCTCGTAAGGCTTCTCAGTGGTGTTTACGATCTGTTTGTTTGTGCTTCATCTTTTGATGTTGACTTTTTTAGTGAGTTTCAAAGCAATTAATGGCACAAAGAGTTTTCATTTTATATGAAATATTTAACATTTAACACACTCTTGTGCTAAATGAGTATTTGTTCATTAAATCTTTCTCTTCTCCAAACATTACTTACCTTTGTCATATTCAAAACAAAGAAGAAGAAAAAACAAGAATTTAAAAGTCTCGTTTAAATTTTTTATCTTTATACATGTTTTTTATTATTTTTTTTTTTTTTGTTATATATGTGTGTATTCTAAACTTTTTAGAATCATTTAGAATTTTTTTAAATATAAATGTGTGTTTTGAAAATTACCCACATAAACATTAATATTTATTATTGAGTGTTTTTTATTTAATATTGTGTTAAGATTTGCTCGCCGTTTACCATTTTTAAATAATAATAAATAATTTAATTCTTGCTGCAGTCATGAATATTAAAGCAGTTTTTCTTGCTTTCAGTATTAACCTCATCTAATACGCTTAAATCTCTCAACAGTCAAGAGTCAATTCCTTTAAAACTGTTCTTTTATCCCTTATTTGAGATGAATGTTAATTCGGGTCAGGGTTTGAATAAATTCAATTTAAATTAGTAAGCTGAAATTTGAAGACAAATCTGTTTCTCTACATTGGAATTAGCCTCTTTAATTAATTAACATGCATTAATCAGTGTATTAATAAAATGAGTGGAATATGATCGTGAACAGACCCTCCGCTGTGCTGTTCAAACATGCTTAATTGCTGCTCGTCTCCCAAGTTTACTTGCTAATTGGTTTGACAAGACCATTAGTGTTATTTACTTAATTTCTCTAGAGTTAACAAAGCATCCAATCTCCGTCTGTAGCTCCCCAGGGTTCGTTATTTCAGTTGTTCTCGCTTAATTTCTTCATTCTGTCAGTGTAGAGATTGAATGAGCTTTACTGTAGGAATGTAACGCAGCTCATGCGTTCTCGCAGGACTTCCGCGCTTCCTCAGTCAGCCGGAGGGTGTGTCTGTGCGCTCGGGCGGCACTGAGATGCTGAGCTGTGAGGTGACGGAGGAGCTGGTCCCGTTCACCCGCTGGGAGAGGGACGGTCGGCCCGTGGAGCTCGATGGCAGGGTCATACAGCTGCCCAGCGGAGCTCTGGTCATCAGCAACGGCTCCCAGAGCGACGCCGGACTCTACCGCTGCACCATAGACGCTCTGGGACCGGCCAAAACCACAGACGAGGCAGAACTACAGGTGTCTGCAGGTACACACAGACAAAACTCATTTCATAGGTTTAGGGAAACCTGTAATGAAATGACTAGAATTTTTCACATATCTGCATGTAATCGTATACATTTTATCAGCATAGGTATACGCATGGAAGTTTCTTGCATATAGTGTTTACCTTAAAATTCCTATAGTGAGAAGTTGTTTGCCCAATGGAGAATCTAAACATTAAATTATAGATGTAACATTTTTACATTTTTAATTATTTAAAACCTTAAAATATTGTAACAATTAAAATAATGGTAATACAAAAATACATTTATTCTTCTTCTTCTTATTATTATTATTATTTATTTTTTGTGTTATTTTATTGATTTATCGAATTGCAAATTTATATATATATATATATATATATATTTATAATATAAATTATATGAATATAAATATAGACATGTAAACATGTAAATATCATCAAAATATATACTGTATGTGTGTGTTTTTATATATACCGGTACATAATAAATATACACAGAACACACATATATTATGCAAACAAAAACTTTTATTTTGTATGTGATTAATCGCGATTAATCGTTTGACAGCACTCATTTTATAATATATTTTTTAAATGTTATTTTTGTAGTCACGTGTGCTTTTTTTGTGCAATCACATTTGTGTGTGTCTTTGCAGATTCGGGTGTTGAAGAAAAATTGGAGACTCTCCAGGGCCCCGTTGCTGTGGCGAAGGTTGTCGGGGAGAGCGTGTTGTTGCCATGCGTCATGAAGGGATACCCCCTGCCAGTGATTCGCTGGACGTTTAACGACCGGCCGATTGACGAGAGGTAAGCATATCAGAACTGTGTGTTTGCACGAACCCATGAGTAAAAACGCAAATAAATCTTGTAGGCACAGAGAATCACGCAGTTTCCTGTCGAATTCTTGGCTGGATGCAAGAAATGCGTACAGGTATGAGATCAGAGCGCTGCCTCAGATCCATCAGCGTTCAGTCACACACTCGGCATGGTCTGGCATACTAAAGCAAACTCGCCACAGAGCACACAAAAAGAATCCATTCAGTCGCTCTTAATCGCGCTATCAACTATTCAACGTCTGTCCAAATTCCTCAGCGTAAAATATCCGTATTATCTGGCAGAGGTAATTACTGACGCCTGTGTAAATTATGTTATTGTGTCATTTTGCATAGTTATGATGCTCTTATCTGGAACGTGGCTTCATCTAAAGTCACACACGCCGTAAATTGCATTACATAGTTTGCAGGATAGCCGATGTCCTCTCTCTGGCTTGGTTTTCCAGGGGAGGGTTTGCTGTTGTCATCCGGTGCACATGAATAATGTAGAAAGGACTGGATTGTCACGGCATGTAAATGGGCTGTCAGCGGTACAGCGCTCTGTCATTCATTATTACATCCTCTGTGCTGGTATATTTACCCTGATGTGATTTCAGCCGTGGGTTTGGTAATGTTTGCATTGTGGACGTGCAGAAGCGATTACATGCTTTTTATTGCCGCTTTGTCTCTTTTCATTTCCTGACCCTCTGTGTTTTATCCCCTTGCACACTAGGGTTATATTTCTGCATATACTGATCTACAGCCTGCATCCAGATGTGGCAAACTCAAAGCTTTCAAGGTCAACAGCAGAACTGACTGATCTCTGCCAACATACAGTGGATTCGATTAATAGAGATCTAAACCGTAGTATTACTATTGAGCATAATGAGGGTTAGGGGTTAATCACTAGAACTGAGTATTAAACGTGAAAATGACATATAACACTTCAAATCATATCAACAGACCAGAATATCATAGAAACACCAGCAGCAGAATTAGGGGTGTAAATCGGACGGTTCATCATGATATAATATGATATCGATTCTACGATACGATTTGATTCAGGGATATATCAATCCATGTATTACTAATACAGTACTAAATTATGTTTTTTTTATTAACTCACAAAGGCACCCAAAATATATAACAAGAACATTTATCTGAAATTTCCACAGCCTGTAACCCAACTGAGACATTCACAAAAAAATTAAATAAATAAATAATTGAAAATATCAAAGTTTGGAGCATGCGTTGAAAAGGCACTGTCACCCCTGGATCGCAACCGTGTTTTGGGAACAACTAAGAGACCGTGCTGAGAACATCGTAAATTGCGAATTGGCGTATAAGGTGTTAAAAGATCTGACAGATACTGTGGAGCGAGACTATGCAGAGCCTTGTATATAAGCATTAGGATTTTAAAATCTATACGGTATTTAACAGGGAGCCAGTGTAACGTCTTCAAAACAGGAGTTATTTGGTCGCCAGCCCTAGTCCCAGTTAAAATTCTAGCTGCTGAATTCTGCAAGTATTGCAATTTGTTAAGAGAGGATTTGGACACTCCAACAAGGAGAGCATTGCAATAATCAATTCGTGAGAAAACAAAAGATTTAATAAATTTTTCAGCAACATAGGCTGAATACGTACAATATTTCTAAGATGGAAAAAGGAGGTCTTTAACGTGTTCTGTACAAAAGGCTCGAATGAAAGGGTGGCGTCAAAGATAACACCAAGATTTTTAGTTTACTGTGTAGCTCTAGGGCAAAACCATCAACTCATAGATCTATAAAAGCAGCATTTCGCAGTTGGTGGGGAGAGCCAAGAAGCGTAACTTCAGTTTTAGAGCTATTCAGAAAATTTTTAGACATCCACAACTTAATCTCAGAAATACATTTGGAAAGATGAGAGACATCGACAAATTGACCAGGTTGAGAATGTATATAAATCTGAGTATCATCAGCATAGAAGTGGTAGCTGAGGTTAAGGGATCTTAATAGCTGACCAAGAGGATAAATATAAATGCTAAAAAGCAGGGGACCAAGAACTGAGCCCTGTGGGACACCAGTACAAACAGGATCCACATCAGATCTGAAACCATCCATAAAGACAAATTGACTGCGACCCGTAAAATATGACCTAAACCAATCTAGGGCAGTCCCAGATACACCAAAGACAGTTTCCAGTCGATTAAGTAAAAGCATGTGGTCAACAGTGTCGAAGGCTGAACTAAGATAGTAAGATGAGAATCGAAAGAGCGCCAGAATCAGACGCTAACAGTAAGTCATTAACAACTTTAACAAAGGCTGTTTTAGTGCTGTGCAGTTTCCTAAACCCAGATTGAAAAGGCTCAAACAGATTATTGACCGTTAAATGGTTGTGTAATTGAGACGAAACAACACCCTCTAAAATTTTAGCAATAAATGGAAGATGAGAAATTGGACGAAAGTTACTGAGAATTGTTTGAATCACTTTTTTGCTTTTTTAATATGTGAGTGACAGCAGCAGTTTTAAGTGCTGTTGGCACAACACCAGTGGCCAAGGAGTTATTTATTATTGTAAGAACAACAGGGCACAAGTAACCAAATAATAGAAATAATAATAATAGAATAGAATAATAGAAATGCTGCCTTGGCAATTATTTTAAGTGTTTCATCCAATATTTATATTTTATTTTGTTTCAGCTTTATTTCAATTAACGAAAATGATTTTGAATAGTTTAAGTTAACAGTAGCAGCACTGATGCCCTTAGCAATGTGTCGAGTAGTTCTGCGCAGTGGTTGCGAACGTCACTCCCGTTTTCTTCAGTAAATGTAAAAATCTAATCTTCATATTTCTTTTTCATGATGAAAACACACAGAAGCCTGAGCGTATCAGATGTGAATCAGATTGGAGGATTTCGTAGGTGTTGTATGTAGGAAACCTCTAGACTTGCTAATGGATGGCATACACTCGGCCTCTTTTCTGACACTTGCTGCCCTAATAAGATCAGGGATAAAGTTCCATCCCTGCTGCAGCCCATGCTAAATTAATGATGTTTTTCTTTCTTTTATACATTTCATTTTGGAATACAATTTGGGAATTGTAGAGGGAAAGTGGTTTGAGAAATGAAATCCAGAAAGGAGAATGAAAGTGTATGGAAGCAGAGCAAAATATATACACACACACACACACACACACACATATATATATATATGTAATTATTATTGCTATTATTGATTTTAATTATTTACGAAAAATAATAAAAATGAAAATCATCCTGGTTGAAATTATTTTTGCAGCATCATCAATGCCAATGGTGCATTACAATGCTGTCTATGTAGGCAGCTGATTAGTGTTTGGACCAGAGCCATTGTCTTCATAGAATTTCATTCAGATTGGTTGAGATTCAGCCCCGTTCTGCTGTTGTCTGTTGGAATGCATCCTTGCCGCTTCGATCACGCCCACCGTAATTTCAAACGACGCGTTCAATAAAGATTGAATTGATCGTATCAAAGAGCTGAGCAGACTAATCATGACCTGTTTAAGCCGCTAACTACCCAGTTCAGCTCGCGTGCACTGCATCCGACCTCGTCTCTCTCGGCTTCCTCCGATGAGGCTTGTTGTCAGTTTGCGCTGTCGATTGAAAGCGGCTCAACGTCTAATTGCAGTTCTTTGCCGGTTGTCTGTGCAGGACTGATGATTGCTGACAGACTCCATTTACGGCGTAATTGCTTCTCTCATGGTCTTCGGGCGATGTAATGTATTCCTGATGCTGGATACATTCTAATAATGTCATATTACCCACAATGCCCAGCCTCTCAGAGGGGTAGACAGAGTCCATCATGGCTCAGACAACATCACTGTTCTGTGTGAATGTGTGTCAGTGTGTATCTGCGTGTGTGTAATCCAGATCTCCCCTTCAGAGTTTCAGTTTTTCCCTGTAGAGTTTCAGTGCTTTACCCCAGTGTGAGTGGAGACTCCTCTTCTCTCATAGGAGATTGGGTTTTGACTGACTATAATGATTTTAAAGAATAGTTTGCCTAAAAATGGATTTTTCTGTTATGTTTCAGACATTTGGAGCACTAATATAGGATTTTTAATGAACCTTAAAGTTGCATTTCAAGTTACATGATAGCTTTGTGTGACAAACAGATCAAAATTGAGGCTGTGATTTATTATAAAATCTCTAAAGTTTTTTTAAGTCCATATTGAATATCACAGATATTGCATATTTAATTGTGCATGCTTATTTCTTGATTTTTTTTCCATTTAATTTACCTTTCCTGTCATCTGAAGCTCACTTAAACTTAGTCTTTAAAAACAATAAGAATTTAAAAACACTACATTTAAATTTAGAATTTAAAATAAAAAAAAATTCACTAATTTGAAAAATTAAATAAATGCTGCTATTTGTTTGTTTTTCTTTTTAATAAGGAAAAAATTAAATTAAGATTTAAGTTTTTTACACAGTTCTGTTGCAATCAACAGTTTATAGTGACCTCTAGATGGTTAAAAATATTGAAAAATGTAAAAATAATTTTATTAAACTATAAGAAGTTATATTCATTATATATAATATAAGAAGTTATACACATATAAGAAGTTATATACATTAAATTTTATGTTACCTTGTTATATACATAAAAAAAATAAAATAATAATTTTACCTGTGTAGAGGTCACTATAAACTGTTGATTGAAATGGAACTGCGTGAAAATTCTTAAAAATAAATAAGTAAAAAATTTTTTATAAATAAATAGTAGCATACTGGTTTAGAATGACACGAGGGGAGAGTAAACAATGACAATTTAGCTTATTGCATGAACTAAGCTTTTAAGGTAGAAAAACACCAAGAATGAAGACCGAAAGCTTAAAATGTACAAATCTTGTGTGTTTAGAGGCCTTCAATCTCAGCATGCAGAACCAGTGTTGAATAAGTCACATTCTTCGCCCTCCTCCATTGTTTGCTTCTCTGGCATGTTGTTGTGAGTCTAATCTGGAGATTGTCGGACGGCTCGCAGGAACTGAATAAACAAATCATGGTGTGTTGGTGTTAAAACCTCCTTATCAGCTCAGACGCTCATTCATTACAGGCCGTGCATAAACGCTCATTTATAGCCAATCCCTTGAGTGATTTCTGGCCAGACGGGTCAGATAAACGCTTTCTGATCTGAGGCCAGATTCTCCATGTTTGTAATCATTTAAAGAGTGTAGGATATGACCAGGAAGCTGACAGGGGTCGACCCAGATCATCACACAGCTGTAATGGTCTTATCTCACCTTTGATTCACATGGATTAGAGCCGGAATGCTGTTTAGTGCTTTACAGAAAGCCAGCGGATCACGGAGGAATTCTTGGGATGAATGCTAATCGCTTGCTTCAGTGACAAGAACACCTTTTGTCCTCAGTGATGTAGATAAAGCAGCTAGAGACTGAGCAGTTTTGCGATGGATGTTTGTGTTGATGACAGATACTCGACCTCTTCTCAACACAAACATCAGTATTTGCACAGGGGAAGATTGTAATACAAGTATATTGTAACACAAACGCATGCTCAGCAGTTCCTTCTCAATGCTGGGTGAATGGGTGTAAATTTTCAACAAGCGCTTCCTCTTTGTGCAATACTCTGATTTATGTTTTTTTTTTTTTTTAATGGTTATATCATACATTCTCCTTCAAAATCTCGACCTCATGTTTATATTTACGACGTACGACATCCTGGAAGTGTTTGCATGTGTTTTAAACATTTATAGCAAATTTATTTCGTTTTTAATGGTGGATCAGCGTTAGCAAACAACAGTAAATTTAAACAGGCCTTTGAATTGAGGGATTCTGGGAAATGGAGGATAATAAATCCTAAAGCGGGGCAGCTAACATAAGAATCCTTGAGAAGTGTGTTGATGTTCAGCCAGATGTTCTCAAAGATAAAGTTTCGTAGAATAGCACTTGATTGTGTCTTTTTTTTCTGTAACCACCAGGATTTAAAGATTTGATTGTAGTTTCAATTAAATCAGATGTTATCAAGTTTGTGGTTTTGTGACTTCAGATATTTGAAATATATATTTGTAATTTTATTGGGGACACTTATTACCAAATTAAATATTCATGAGAGGAATTTTGTGCAGATTTAAAGGGATAGTTCATAAAAAAAAAGATTGTTTTTTTACCAAGCTCTTTTCCATAAAATGAAAAACGATTAGTAGTGACCATTTCAGTGTTATTTTAATACTATGATATATATATGTGTGTGTGTGTGTGTGATATATATTTTTTGTAATTTAAAAAAATATGCTTTTGTAATTTCAGTTCAAGTTAAACTAAATGAAAATATTACATTTTTATATTAAATATTAAAATATAAATGTTGCCTTGGCAACTAACTGAAATAAGTTTTTTAAATATTTTATTTTAAATTTATTGCATTTTTTATTTCAAGTAACAATTTTTTAATGGTTTTAGTTTTAATTTTCAGCCTTCAGGTTTGAGTGAATAAATAATGTCAAAGTGCAAAAAAAGTGCTCAGTGCATTTTAAAATCTACAAATGAAACTTTTGTGAATAAATAATGTCAGAATAGGCTGAACTACTCCTTTTTTAAACAAACTTTTTACCCATCATGCTCTGTTACCCTCCTCCAGTCTGTTTTAATGTAGTGCTAAAAGACAATTAACGGGGCTCTTTGTACTTTATAGTCGCATCTTCTTTTTAATTTCTTTTTTAATTATCCGGCCTCCTCCTCAGGTCTCTCAGGGGCTCCCCTTAGCGTTCACGGTCGCAGCGTCATCTGACTTTTGTCATCTCATGCGTTTAACGAACCTCTCATTGGGTTCGGAGACCTCGTTTTTCAGAGCGGCAGACAAACAGTGGCTGGGGATGCTGAAGATAGCTGAGTGACGCTCCTGTGATCAGGTGCTTTTCCTGCTAGACTCTGAGAAGAGAAGCGTAAGCTCTGAAACATTCGTGTTTATTGGTTCTTATGGTGCTATTAGTGTTTGATAAATGTTCTGTCACCATTTGACAGTTTTCCCCTCAAACACTGAAAGGACTGTTTATACAGCGTGTTTATAACCCGATGATAACCCAGGGTTAAGCGCAGTGTGAAAAGCCCTAATGTTGCAAAGCACCAAACTGGATTTTAAACACAAGCAGAATTAGTTTGAATTGTTCATAAAACCATTCATCTGAAAGTGTCAAAGGATTATCTATAATTTCTAACAACATAAATCGTTATCAGAGCATTTTTAGCATTTCTTCGGTTACGTTATTAGAAATTCACACATTTGTGTTGTAATTTTTGCACAAAATGTGTTGAATTTGTGCAACAATTTAGGGGCCGTTCACATATCGCGTCTTTTGCGCGCTCAAGTTCGTTATTTCAAATGTAGACGCGCGGCAGGCGCGCTCATAATGGAAGCGACGCAGTCGCGACACAGTCGCGACGCGCACGCGGTGCGACGCGCTCATTTTTTCCAGGCGCGACCGCGCCGCATCGAGATAAACACATTTCAACTTTTCAGAATGCCGCAAGCGCACCGCGGGTCATGTGACAATAACCAACCAATCAGCTTCATCCTTTCCCATAACAACATTGAAAGCTTAACCAAGAAGAAGGAACAGCTGATCATAGCTGTACAGGGATAGCCATTTTTTAAATGAATTTAGTAGTAGAGCTACTGCAAGCGATTTTTAGTGCTGCAAATCCATTTACACTTTGCTGAAACTTCCGCGTCTTCATGCAGGTCAAGGTTGCTTAGCAACGGCAGACGCCTCCGGAGCGCAAGCGCCCGAATGCTTTGGGAAAAAGCAGAAAGCGGCGCGCCTAGCGTTTTCCACGCGTTTTTAGGCGCGACATGTGAATTGCCCCTTACACCACCGTTCAAAAGTTTGGGGTTGGTAAGATTGCATTTACAAAGTTGGATTTATTTGAACAAAATACAGTAAAAATACAGTAATATTGTAAAATATTGTTACAATTTAAAATCTTTGTGAATATATTGTGAAATATCATTTATTTATTTATTTATTTGACGCAAAGCTGAATTTTCAGCATCATTACTCTAGTCTTCAGTGTTACATGCTCTTCAGAAATCATTCTAATATGCTGATTTGCTGCTCAAGAAACATTTCTGATTATTATCAGTGTTGAAAACAGTTGTGCTGCATCATATTTTTGTGGAAACTGTGATACGAGTTTATTTTTCAGGATTCTTTGATGAATAGAATGTTCAAAAGAAAATTGATTTAAAATAGAATTTTTTTTGTTTTGTTTTATGCATCCTTGCTGAATAAAAGTATTCATTTCTTTTGTACTGACACCAAACCGTTGAATGGTAATGCATGTTATTGCTGCATTCAAGTCTCAGTTTCTATAAGAATTTCAGTGTTTCCCATACATTGATTTATTTGTGGCAGCCTGCCACAATATCAAAACTGACCCCCACAAATAGATTTTCCAAATGCCTTTAACTTAATTGAATAAACATGAGCACTGTACGTTTCAAAATCAAAATGTGGCCGGGTAACCGACTGTCTTCAGAAAAGCATTGATGCGCTGATCTATATAATGACTATACTGTATATTATAGATCAGTGCATCAATGTCATTTCCATTTAATCTTTCCTATAATGCCTGATAAAGTAGCGCTTGTGAGCGCAGCGCTGCTTTGATTACCGCCGTTACCGGGGAAACCGCTATATATCTGCCGCTCCAAAAGCGCCACCTGCTGGCAGAAAATGAATTTGCGTTTTCAATCAGCCCGGCTGCTGTTTTCGTTATATATATATATATACAGTATATTTCCCCAGGGGGAAGTGCCGCCACACATAGAGTGTAAGTCTGTGGGAAACACTGAATTTACACCAAAATTCGCTCCGCTTCTAAATGAAGGCTGTTGTCATTGTCACTGTGAGCTGCAGTTTGACTCTCGGGTGTGTTGGAAGAAACGTCTTGACGAGTGAGCGGGTGGATTTTGCTCTGTGAGTGTGGGAAGGCATCGTTCCTGGCTGGTTTATTCTCCGTTCAGTAATTGGCGATTTCTTTTCTTTTCCCTGCAGGAGTGTTTTCCTAATGAAGTGACGTGAGGTTTGGAGGTCTGACTGTGTTCGACTCTTCATCCTTCCTCTTTACTTTCTCTCCTCTGTTGTGCGTGACTATTGATTATTTTTTCTTTCCTTTCTCAGCTCATCTTAGATTAACTCACTGTCTCTTCCTGTCTCCGAATCATTGGGGAGGAACCGGGAACAGTAGTTTGTTTTTCTCGAGAAACCTCAAGTTAAACACTCCAGGGAAGTTGCTTTCAGTGCAATCAAGCCATAAAGGGAAATCCGCAGGAGATGAAATCCATACTGAATCTTGTTTTCAATTCCATCTCTGTTGGCATTACCGTGCCATGCTTGAGATGGCTGGCGTTCCTGAAAACGCTACAAAATTTCATTTTAACACATCCTCATCTCATTGTATCTCTTTCTCTGTTTGTGTGTTTTTCCCAGCCGTGAGCGTTTTGCTGTGATTGGCGGGGGAAGCCTGCAGATCGTCAACCTGACCAAAGAGGATGCTGGGATATACGTCTGCCAGGCGAACAGTGGCAACATGACCAGCGAGATCCAGGCAGAGCTCACGGTGCACGGTACATTTCACAAGAACATATTCATATCTTAAATCAATCGAGTCGGCAAACCTGCTGAGAATCATCTGAATTGTGAATGATTCAATTCAGCGCAAACAGCCTCATGGAGCGGCACTAAACATCCCGTATGTAATTATGAGCAGCATTGTTCAGGCTTTCGAAACACACACGTGTCTAGACGGCGTTCTCCTCTGCGGGGGAGGAACTTCAAAGCGTTGTTTTGTTTTTATTTATTTATTTTTTTCTGTATTATTTTCATCTCTTGGCATGGGATTACATTTTTGGAGAGTCAGTGAGAATTCACAGCTCTGTCTAATGTGGAGGTTTGTAAAGGTTTTGAATGGAAACACTTTAAAAAGCGTCTGCTCTCAAGATACGAGTTAATGCATGCACAACTCTAGTGTTAATTTTGTCTTAGTCTTAGTCCTGTGTCAAATGTAACTTTTAGTTTTTATCATATTTAGTCCACTTGTCCTGTTTTAATTTTAGTCGACTAAATGTCTACACAACTCAAACTCATAGCCATATATTTGATTAAATGTGGCCACCTGACCAACCATAATTTTCATTTTTACGTGAGACAGGTAAATGCTCTAATAGCCTGACATGCAACACAGTGGTCATTCATTCAAAAGTGCTGCAGGAAATGCAGAAGAAAGTACTGCACTTACAAAAAAATCTGTAAAACCATTCTAACTGTAACTGTAGCATTGAATTGAATGTGACAGTTTGCATATAATGGTTTTACATGGTTGTGTTCGCCCAGATGTTTAAGTGCCGATTATTACATTTACATCTGTGCATTTGACAGATGCTTTTATCTTACATTGCATTCAGGCTGATGTTATTAGCATTTGTTAACTGTTCTCACAATGTTCAGAGAAAAAGTTTTAGGCACTACATTGTTTGAATACTCTTTTTAACATTTGCACTTTGCAGCAAACATTGTTGCAGTTTTTTGTAGTTTTGTTGTGTTACAAACTGTCAGGCTTGTGAAAAATGTAGTTACTATAAGTTACTATAAGCAACGGTAATTTACAGCACAATTTACTATTCCATTGTAAAAACATCACAATAATCCACAAGTAATCCACACCACTCCAGTCCATCAATTAACATCTGGTGAAGGGAAAAGCTGCATGTTTGTAATAAACAAATCCAAGGAGTTTTAACGTTGCAAGCTAAAATATAGGTCCTCAAGCCATAATATTGCTTTCTCCAGAAGTCGGGAGAGAAATATGCACATCAAGCACTGTTTATAAGCGTTTATATGATTTTGATGTTAGAGGACAGCAATGGATGGACTTCTTCACTGGAGGAAGCGTTTTCATGGATAGAAGACTTGTATTTTAGCCGGAAGCAATGGTTTGAAGTTAAAAATGTTTTAATGGATTTATTATGTGGATTACTTGTGGATTATTATCAGCTGCTTGGACTCTCATTCTGATGGCACCCATTCACTGCAGAGCATCCACTGGTGAGCAAGTGATGCAATGCTACATTTCTCTAAATCTTCCCATGAGCCAGGCTAATCCAGTGACTAGTTTTTCCTCATAATTGGTGCTTTGCTAAAAATTGCTTTCTAATTCATGCAGTTTTTGATCACATTACAGCTCACATTACACATAATTTAACAATTTTTCCAAAGAAAAACAGCCGACATAATGATTTGCAACGTTCAGTTCATTCCAGCTCACATAAGAAGATTATCCTAGTCAGCTTTTACCACTTTATGAGCATATTTAATTCAAAATCACACAATTTACAGAAATATCCAGTTCATTTCTATGGTATATTCTGTAGCCCAATTAGCCCAAGTTGGAAAATGCCCAGAATGGATGGAGGGTCAATTGCTTATTATATACTCCTTTAGTGACGTGACATGTGGCCAAGTATGGTGACCCATACTGGGAGCAGTTGGGGGTTCGGTGCCTTGCTCAAGGGCACCTCAGTCGTAGTATTGAAGGTGGGAGAGAGCGCTGTACATTCCCCCCCCCCACCTACAATCCCTGCCGGTACAAGACTTGAATCCGCAACCTTTGGGTTACGAGTCCGACTCTCTAACCATTAGGCCACGACTTCCCCACTTCCTTTATAAGCTGTGAAAAATAAAAAACTGATAAAAACTCACGCACGCTGATTTATAGAAGTTGCAGAAGCGCGCAGTCTGTGGTCGTGCTGTCTGAAGCCCAGACTACCTTTGATCTGACTCTTGAAATTGAGCCATATCATAATTGGATTTTCTAATTGAATTAATTTTTTTTCTTGTGAGACTGACATGGTTGCTAGCGGTGATGTAAGAGATTTCAGTGCAATATAACATCAAGAGTAAAGTAAGATAAAGCTGACAGCAGTGGGCCGTGTGTTCATGATCTCTTCGCCCTCCTGATCTGTTATTTTCACTCCCTCCTGCTGCTGATGTTTTTTTCCATTCGCTTTTCTCGCCTTTTTACAGGTACTGACGCACGTATGGAAGGGTTTGTTACTGAGCTCAGGAAGTTGAATCTCCCGTGGGGAGTCAGGAAATCTGATTTCGCTTCTAATGGGTAAAAATAAAGCGCTTTGGGTAACACAAGCACACCTAGCGAGGAGGGCATTTAGGTGTGTAAAACTGCATGTTTTGAAAACCACGTACGCAGGTGCATGTTTGAACGTTTTTATAGTTCCTGTACGTCTTGCATAAACAATATAAAGGAATATTCCAGGTTAGCAATGCGTTAAACTCTATAGGCAGGATTTATGGCATGCTAACAATTTTAAAAAAAAAGTGTTATATGAGTCTTTTCTAGGTGAATAAACTTCCAGTTTTCTGTGGTAGTCGACAGCACGTCACAGATGCTGTGTGCAGATCGTAACTTGTATTGAGATGAACTCACTCGTTCATATTTTTAGCTTTCTTTCATGCCTGCTTGTGCTATTTTCAGGGGAGCCGAAAGCAGATAAGATTGGGATTGTTTGGTCTTGGGGCAAGTAGCCGCATTCCAATTTACACGACTACTCTCTTTGTCCATTCTGGTCTCCGAATCGATTACAGTGATTAGTGTGATTAATATATGATGTACTTTCAATGCCAATTAGTTTTTTCCCTCTTCTTGCATTTGAGTCATTATCTGTGCTTCTCTTGCAAGACTTTGGCTGACTTTGTATGCATAAATAACGCTGTGGTGTTTTAAGAGCTTTTCTGGGATATAGAGTTATAGTGACCGTTTCTTCCTACAGTATGACTGCTGTGAAACACCGCATTGGGTTATTAAACACTGGCAATTTAATATCTGCATGTGAAGTGACTCATAACTCTTGTGCCGCGGTTATTTTAGAAGGCGGTGTTCACATGCTGGGATTTTCCCCGGATTCCCTCTCAGATTAGCAGGATTGTAGAGAGCCGTGTAAAACGCTGTTAAGATTGGCTTGGGTTACGCTTTAAAAGTTACTCATAAAATGAAAGGATGTGTTCTGACAAACTGTAATCGTATTACTTTCACACCCACTTGCTTCAGTAGTGCACACATTAGTCCTGCATACTTAGTAGTGCATACTTCAGTCTTATATATTTAAGTTGATTACTTTTTATTTTTTTATACTTTATTGTGTTCCAGTTAAATAGAATTCTTGTTACATTCTGTCTACATTACATTTGGCACATTTAAAGTTTTTTTTACCCTCTCAGATTAGCAGGATTGTAGAGAGCCGTGTAAAACGCTGTTAAGATTGGCTTGGGTTACGCTTTAAAAGTTACTCATAAAATGAAAGGATGTGTTCTGACAAACTGTAATCGTATTACTTTCACACCCACTTGCTTCAGTAGTGCACACATTAGTCCTGCATACTTAGTAGTGCATACTTCAGTCTTATATATTTAAGTTGATTACTTTTTATTTTTTTATACTTTATTGTGTTCTAGTTAAATAGAATTCTTGTTACATTCTGTCTACATTACATTTGGCACATTTAAAGTTTTTTTTTATTTTTTTATCACCACCTATATTAATAAACTTTAAAAACCAAAGGAATACGTATGCACATATACATAAATGATAAGTTCTGTTATTATTATATTTTATATAAATTCAATTATGAGTAGAAAATGTTTTTATTAAAATATATTTTTAAAGAAGTCTCTTCTGCTCATTAAGGCTGCATTTATTTGATCAAAAATACAGTAAAAACAGTAAAATTGTGAAATATTATTACAATTTAAAATAACTGTTTTCTAGTTGAATATGATTTAAAATGTAATTTATTTCTGTGATCAAAGCTGTATTTTCAGCATCATTACTCCAGTCTTCAGTGTCACATGATCTTCAGAAATCATTCTAATATTCTGATTTATTGCTCAAAAAACATTTCTGATTATTATCAATGTTGAAAACAGTTGTGCTGCTTCATATTTTTGTGGAAACTGAGATTTTACTTTTTTTTTTTAGGATTCTTTGAATAGTAAGTTCAAAAGAACAGCATTTATTTGAAATAGAAATTACATATACAATTTTTAATTTTTATTAAATTATAATTATTTAAAGTTCAAAAGAACAGCATTTATTTGAAATATAAATTATAAATAAAAGTGTATTTTTTATTTAATTATAATTAATTAAAATGTATCATTTTATATTTCAAAATTAATTATAAATTTGAAATGATAATATTATAAATGTCTTCTACTGTCACTTTTGATTAATGTCTTGCATCTTAAAATACTAAGACTATATATACTATGATACCATATATATTTATATTTAAATGTAAGAAATTAATTCTTTTATTCAGCATATATTTAAATATATTTTATTCCAATCTCAAAATTAAGAAAATCTGAACAAAAAAGTGTCTGCATATTTTAGTGTATACTTCAGTTCTGTATGTTTCAGTTTAGTGCTTGTGTCAATCCTGCACACATCAGTCATCTGCAGTTGCTGTTTCACATACTACTAGCTTTTAAAAGCATTAGATGGTATTCAGTATGCACTGCGCAGTAAACAAGTATTCCTTTGAGAACACAGCCGGTGTGAAACCAGTCCTGCAGGAGTCTGAGGGAGAGAAGATTGAACTCAAGTTCATCCAAACTACAAAACCAAGTCTGAAAACAGCATAATTCACCAAGGCTGATGCCGGAGAAATACAGCAGAGAATTGAGATCACACCACAGACAGTGACTGCCAGAGATCGTTAGCGTAGCAGAGTTCAAGGAAATGAATCTTCCTCTGTTCCTCTCCTCCAGCTGACAGCAGATGGAGCGCTGTTGATTTTCTTTGTCTCTTGTTGACTTTAGAAGGTGAAACTGGGTGTGAAAAATACAGAATAAGTCATCCTTGACGCACTTTTGTCAGCTGCTGATAAGAAAACTATCTCTGAATCTGAAACTCCTGTTATATTTAGCGTCTCTGTATTCTTGTTCTTCATCTGTTCTTCCCTGCTGTACATCCTGCATTACCTGCACAAGTTATAAACATCAGGAGAGGTCACAAACTAGCCCGTTTCCTGACGGATGCGGTTGCCATAGGAACAGCCACGTCTATCACACGAATCCCAGCGAAGGGATGTTGTGAAAAATACAGAATAAGTCATCCTTGACGCACTTGTGTCAGCTGCTGATAAGAAAACTATCTCTGAATCTGAAACTCCTGTTATATTTAGCGTCTCTGTATTCTTGTTCTTCATCTGTTCTTCCCTGCTGTACATCCTGCATTACCTGCACAAGTTACAAACATCAGGAGAGGTCACAAACTAGCCCGTTTCCTGACGGATGCGGTTGCCATAGGAACAGCCACGTCTGTCACACGAATCCCAGCGAAGGGATGTTGCACTTATGCAACCTTTAATGCACCCTGTGACCACCTCTCCAGTTCATACCTGCATTTGTTCACTTTCTTCTTCTAGTTCCTCCTCGGTTCTTGACGAGACCCTCCAACACTTACGCCCAGGAGTCGATGGACATCATCTTTGAGTGTGACGTCACCGGCTCACTGCCGCTCACCGTCAAATGGATGAAGGATGGAGACACGGTCATTCCCAGTGATTATTTCAGGATGGTATGTTAGACCCCCTCCTCACTGCATGATACACATTTATCCATGAAATTATACAGTAAACAGTTAAAAAAATAAAGTTTTACATGAATAGGACTTGATTGCTTTTTTTTTTTTTTAAACAAAGCGGTCAGTGAAATAAGGTGCTTAAAATCAGGATGATACTTGATTTATTTTATTTATTTATTTATTTTTCAGCTGTGTAATCTTGTTACCAACCATTTTTAATCCTTTATTTTATTGTATTTTATTTCTTTTTTTTTTGTTTTTGCAGTTATTCAACCCTGTTACCAGCCATTTTAACTGTATTAATACAGTTTTAAATCTAGATTTGTTATTTTTTTAATTAATTTATTTATTTATTATGTTTTATTTTATATTTTACATTTTTCAGTCCCTTTTTTTTTGTTGCAATTTTTCAGTCCTGTTACTGACACGTTTAATGTATAAATACAGTGTTAAGTAATGATTGTAATTAGTTTTTGTTTTATATTTTAGTTAATTTTTTTGCAATTTTTCAGTCCTGTTACTGACTCTTTTAACTGTATGAATACAATTTTAAAACCTGATTTTTAGTTATTTTATATTTTATTTTATTTGTATTTTTTGCAATTTTTCAGTCCTGTTACCAACATTTTTAATGTATAAATACAGTTTTAAGTAATGATTTTTAGTTATTTTATATTTTATTTTATTTTTAGCAATTTTTCAGTCCTATTACCAACATTTTTAATGTATAAATACAGTTTTAAGTAATGATTTTTAGTTATTTATTATATTATTTTTTTTTGTTGTTGCAATTTTTCAGTCCTGTTACCAACACTTTTAACTTGTATGAATACTTTTTTAAATCCTGATTTTAATTACTTTTTGTTTTATATTTAATTTCATTTTTTCTATTTTTCAGTCCTGTTACCAACATTTTTAATGCATAACTACAGTTTTAAGTAATTATTTTTAATCATTTTATATATTTATTTTATTTTTTGATTTTTTTTTGTAGGAATACAGTTTTAAGTAATGATTTTTAGTTTTCATAAATTTTATTTATTTATTGTTTTTCAGTCCTGTTACTTACACTTTTAACTGTACAGCTAAATGAGTCATTATCCAGCAAAATTGTCATATTTAGCCATCTTTGTTTTTTCACAATAATAAGAGTGCTAGTGTTATTAATTCTTACGCAATGCTCTGTTTTGTTGTTTGTGTCCCCACAGAAGCAGCATAACTTGCAGGTTTTGGGTTTAGTAAAATCAGATGAAGGTTTTTATCAGTGTTTAGCGGAGAACGACGCCGGGAACGTCCAGGCCAGCGCTCAGCTGATCATACTGGATTTAGGTAAACTCGCTTTGTGTATATTTGCGTTTCTGTGTGTGTTTATGCAGAAATCCTCGTCCTAAATGAAGATACTGCATTAAACGTGTGCAGGAAAGCGCAGTCCATCTCCAGAGCCAAATCCCTCAGATCTCGAGTGTTTATTCTAGTTGAGTGATGGGCTAAAGACTTGCCAAGACTCACCGATTGATCTTTTGACAGGAATTAAACACAGCAATCATTATCACACGATGGGTCGTAGCAGTCCGTCAGTGATGTTTTCTGGGGATGAGTCCAAACGCTTTGTGGCTTTAATGTCATTATGATGGTTTTACAGCGTGTCATAAGCGTGACATCCACATATTCACATTTTCTGTTGTATCTGTTCTATTTTAGTTTTTTTTCTGTAGCTTGTCTCTTCATCTCAAGCTTCACATGCATGCATTCGTACTCTCGTTTCCACGCACTGAATGAAGGCTTGAACACATGTTCTCACACGTCAAGCAGAGGCGTAAATGATTGGATGGCTGGTGTGAGATCTGTTTCTCACCTGGCGCGGGTGCGAGTCTCCAGTGTTCCTCGGCTCGCAGAGATCTCACCGCTGAATGTTTAATTAACCGTACCACTTTATTAGAAACGTCAAACATGTGCATGCTTTTCATTTTCACGTGCGCTGCGTTGCATTAGCACCTCTCGACGGAGACCCGAATTATGTGTGCAGAACTCTGGATGTCATTTAATAATCTGGATTTCTCTAGCGGACGCGTTAAGTTTAGTTTGCAAACTGAGAATACTCGCTGACACTGGATTGCAGTGATTAATTACTGATCGGATTCCAGTGCAGAGGAAGTGGATTTAAGTCCTCATGGGAAGTTTTCAGAAGTGATTTTGGCCTAAAAAAGGGAACACGGAAGAGCAATGGATGTGCGTTAGGTGTGTGTTGCCCCGGAGAATGATGGGAAGTATAGGTTGGTTGTGCTAAATTTGTATTTTCTGCCAGCATTATTGCTTTTCTTCATCAACAGTACATGAAAAGTGAGTGAAGTCATTTTAAAAGAAACATCATCTAATGGTGTGAGTTTGGGGCGGGGCTATCTGTTTGGCCAGCCAATGACAGACTTGTTTGATTTCCACTGGCAATTACAACATTGTGGTGACATTTATTGTTTTGCTTGTATGTGATTATCAAACATTATTTAAATTATGTTTTTCTTAATGTTTTTTTAATTACTTTATTATTTTATTTTATTTGTTAATTATTATTATTATATATTTTTTTTTATGAAAACCTTATCCAATGTCACAGCTGGTGATTACTGTTTTATTGTTTATTTGTGTTATTATTATTTTTATACTCTGCAGCACTTTGGTCAACTTTAGTTGTTTTTAAATATGCTTTATAAATAGACATTGTATTGTATTCTATTAAAATATAATTAATTTGTTAAAAATTTATTATAATTAACATTTAACCCTTCATTTTAAAATGGACTAATATTTATTATATAATTTTTGTTAGAAAAGAGAAAAATTCAATTCTGATAATGAAAAAGGGAACATTAATTTTAATCAAATTTAACTTATATTTTATTATTTAATTGTAATTTAGTGTAGTATTGTTCATTTTATTTATTATTGTTTTTGTTTTTATTTTTGTTAGAAAAGAGAAAAATTCAATTCTGATAATGAAAAAGGGAACATTAATTTTAATCAAATTTAACTTATATTTATTCTATTATTTAATATCTAATCTAGAATTTAATATTAATATTATTTTGTGTTTAATTCATATTTAAGCAACAATAATTTGAATAATAATATCACTAAAACAATTGTATTCATTTTATTGTGGTATTTGTTTTTTATTATTATTTTTATTATTATTAGTTCCCAACAGTAGTAGTTTTCCTGAGACAGATTTGTTGTTATCCCTCAGCACCTTTTAGAGACAGGAGCACTTTATAATGGCAGGGAGGAAGAGAAGAGGAAATGAAATCCTGATAATGAAATAAATCGGTCAGCAAGGACGATCTGTCACGTCGGAGTTTAGTGGGCACTTGTTGACGGCTGATTTCAGTGATTGAAGCGTCACTCTCAATTATTGATGTTACTGGTGTAGTTTGGGTTGGAAAAGGAGAAGTCTCCATTTGCTCTCCGTTTAATCTCTTTGTTGTTTAGGAGGAACTGATGTAATGAGTGAACCGCTGTGGCCTCTCGTCAGTGTTTCTGATGTGCTTGTGTGTCTTTCGCTGCATGAGATCTTTATATCCTCTGAACGTTTGCTCTCAGCCTCTCCAACTACAGGAGAGCTTTGTTTTGATTAACGAAATAATCCACTTCAGGACACTTGGAAATCAGTCCAGGCCCTTCTGTTGATTTTCCTGCTGTGCTTGAACACGGCCCTTCACACGTCATATGCATTAGAGGTTTCTTCGTTTGTGGTTCTCAGAAAAGAAACGTAAAGGGTTAGTTTACCAAAAAATGAAAATTAAGTCACCATTTACTCACCATCATGTCGTTGCAAAACTTTAATAATAATAATAATAATTATTTAAAAAATTACAAATTAAAACAAAAATTAAATTAAAAATGATATAAATAGATAATAAATATAAAATTATTATTATTTTTGTTGTTGTTGTTAATAATAAATGTAAACAAAAATAAAATTAAAATTATAATAAATATAACATTATTATTATTATTATTAAAGTAATAATTATTGTTGTTAATAATAATAATCATAATAATAATAGTAGTAGTAGTAATAAATATATATATTTTTTAAATCATATTAAAATTACAATTAATTTTAATAGTACATTTTATTGTTGTATGTTTCAGAAAAGAATCGTAAAGAGACAGTTTACCCAAAAATTACAATTAAGTCATAATTTACCCTCCCCCCATGTCGTTCCTAACATTATTATTATTATTGTTGTTGTTGTGAATAATAAATATATACAAAAATAAAAAAAATAAAAGTTAAAATATTAAATATAAAATGATACTATTATTATTATTAATAATAAGTATTGTTGATAATAATAGTAGTAGTAATAAATATAACATTAAAAAAAATAGATATACTAAAATTACAATTAATTTTAATTGTACATTTTATTGTTGTACATTTTAATGTTAAAATATTCCTTAAAAAAATTACCAAACCAAATGTAGGTCTTAATTTAATCTCAGATGATATTAGATAGATTTCAGAGGAACGGACACCTGTCACCCACACGAGTGTTAGATGGAGTGTGAATACTGGTTTCACGAGCTTTGATGCTAAAAC